ACTGATCTCTGTATAATACACCTGTACTGATCCTTGTATAATACACCTGTACTGATCCCTGTATGATACACCTGTACTGATCCCTGTATAATACACCTGTACTGATCTCTGTATAATACACCTGTACTGATCCCTGTATAATACACCTGTACTGATCTCTGTATAATACACCTGTACTGATCCCTGTATAATACACCTGTACTGATATCTGTATAATACACCTGTACTGATCCTTGTATAACACACCTGTACTCATCTCTGTATAATACACCTGTACTGATCTCTGTATAATACACCTGTACTGATCTCTGTATAATACACCTGTACTGATCTCTGTATAATACACCTGTACTGATCTCTGTATAATACACCTGTACTGATCTCTGTATAATACACCTGTACTGATCTCTGTATAATACACCTGTACTGATCCCTGTGTAATACACCTGTACTGATCCCTGTATACTACACCTGTACTGATCTCTGTATACTACACCTGTACTGATCTCTGTATAATACACCTGTACTGATCTCTGTATAATACACCTGTACCGATCCCTGTATAATACACCTGTACCGATCTCTGTATAATACACCTGTAGCGATCCCTGTGTAATACACCTGTACCGATCCCTGTGTAATACACCTGTACCGATCTCTGTATAATACACCTGTACCTATCTCTGTATAATACACCTGTACTGATCTCTGTATAATACACCTGTACTGATCTCTGTATAATACACCTGTCCAGAGCTCTCCTTAGAGAAGAGGAATATATAATGACAATGAATGGACATGGCGGAGGGGGATGGGGAGGCTGGTGATACCTGTGTGTATTCCTATTCGGAGGCGGAGTTGCGTGCTCGGTCTGTGGCGGATTTTGAACGTTGTCACAGCTTCCAGAAGCGCCAGCGACATTCTAGCGATTTCCCGTGCGTGCATTTTCCCGTTCCGTACCGGTAACCCTGATACCACCATATAAGCATCTCCGATCGTCTCCACCTGAGGAGAGAGCAGACACCTGAAGTGGCGGCATGTTCAGAGGAAGGACCTTCAGGAGAACGCCGACACAGCCCAACCACCGGGCCCGGCCAGCTTTGTACTCGGCAGCCATCTAGTATCTCACCTTGTAAACGTCAAAGTTGTCTATTATGGCATCAAAGCAGGTATACAGGTCATTGAGTAACGTCACCACCTGCGGAGGCAAAGGACGGAATTATGGACACGGAACATCTCTGGGGGTGATACCTGATCATGCAACAACCCTTCAACCAGCCTTTCTCAACCCTCATAACATGGACTAACCCTTCAAATAACTTTTATATCTCAAAGTAATACTTCCTGTACCCAGCAGTGTATTTACAAATGCTGCTGCCCTAGGCAAAACAGCAACGCCACCCCCGTACTGACGGCCGATCGTCACCATCAGCACCCCCCCGGGTTGACGCCGCCTACCCATCAGCACAAGCCTCCATAGACAACCCCCTCCTACGATCACTCACCCGGCATTAAAAAGCGCTGCCTGCTGGACACCGCCGCAACCCGCCGTCCTCGTCCCCGCCGCTACGATGGCCTGCGGTTCTCTCCCCTTGATAAATAAAATTTATCAAGGGGAGAGAACCACAGCAAGTGCCGCTCTCAGGGAATCTGCCGCTCCAGGCAAACGCCTTGTTTGCCTCGCGGCAGATACGCCCCTGCCTGTACCTACAGCTCACCGTACATGAGCTGAATCACGATACAAAAATAAGGAATGTGGCGCACTTCAAGTATTTCCACTGGGCGGAAGGTTTATACATGAGTGTGTGTGTACATAAAAGAGGCCCCGTCTCTCAAGACCTGGTCTTCAAAGCCAGCAACCGTGAAGCAGGGTGTAAAACTGGTCCTTGGGACAGAAGATCTGGAAGAGCCCATGGAGCGTATCACAGGAGTCTGATCAGGACGGATCTATCTGGGCCAATTCTAAACTATGAGGATAACCGAAATGCCCTCCATGTTGATTCTGAGAAGCAGATGAGGAAGGTGTCTCAGGGGAGGAAGGGCAAAGATCAGGTTGTACTGATTCCACGGAGCCACCAAAGTATCCCTTCCTCCTACCAGAAGAATCCATGGCTATGGAGAAAAACCTGTCTAGTTTTGTTGTTGAACCTGCTGGAAGCTGAGAGGTCCACATCTGGGGTCCCTTGCCTGTCACATGGAACCTTCCTGTGGTCCTAGAACACTTCCTGGAGTAGTGCCCATTTTCCTGGATCCAGGTGCCATGGGACCCAAAGTGAAGGAATAGCGGATATGCTGGAGAATTAGAGACAAGTACGCATCCTTGATGTCCACAGAGGGCACAAAGTCCCCATGATGGAGGGCCTGGAGGATTCCATGCAGAATTGTTGGGACCAAATGAAAACATTTAGGGCCTTGAGATCTAGGATGGGGCAGATGGCTGTGTGCATACAACACAAACCTCCTCAGGACTCTTTACTAATTGCTTTGTAAAGCCAATTTCCCCAAAATTTAACAAAATACTAAATTAGCAAAATCAAGTTAGAGAACTTCAAGGCTCATTGATCTTCATGTATGTATTGGTACCAGATATGTTCTGATGCCCCATGCTGGTCTTCATATATGTCCTGGTACCAGATATACCTTTGTGGTTCTGATGCCCCATGCTGGTCTTCATATATGTACTGGTACCAGATATGCCTTTGTGGTTCTGATGCTCCATGCCGGTCTTTATATATGTACTGGTACCAGATATGTTCTGATGCCCCATGCTGGTCTTCATATATGTACTGGCACCAGATATGGCTTTGTGGTTCTGATGCCCCATGCTGGTCTTCATATATGTGCTGGCACCAGATATACCTTTGTGGTTCTGATGCCCCATGCTGGTCTTCATATATGTACTGGTACCAGATATGTTCTGATGCCCCATGTTGGTCTTTATATATGTACTGGTACCAGACATGGCTTTGTGGTTCTGATGCCCCATGTTGGTCTTCATATATGTCCTGGTACCAGATATGGCTTTGTGGTTCTGATGCCCCATGTTGGTCTTCATATATGCACTGGTACCAAATATGGCTTTGTGGTTCTGATGCCCCATGTTGGTCTTCATATATGTACTGGTACCAGATATGGCTTTGTGGTTCTGATGCCCCATGATGGTCTTCACATATGTCCTGGCTCTAGGAATGTGTCAGCAGATTGGGGTTTGTAGGCTCCTTATACTGTGAGTGACCTCTCAGCTGAGGACATCTGGATTTGTGGTCATAGGAAGGAGAATATCAGGTAGCTGGACAGCCAACCTTGAAGCTGGTTCCCCCCCTCCCCCCGTGGTGTGGAGCCTGTGATGGACCAGTGATAAGTTGTGCATGTGGTATGATGTATATCTACATGGGGTAGTCACGGTACTTACCTGCATCGGGGTGCTCTCCGCAGACATGGATGTAAAACCCACAATGTCACTGAAATAAATAGTGACGCTGTCGAAGGCTTCGGCCTGGACCGTTTCCCCCCTCTTCAACTGCTCGGCCACCGAACTGTGTAGAGAACGGCAGATCGTGTCACGTGTATAATGTACAAATACCGGGCCCGTCATAGAACACACGTCCGTGTACATGGGAATAGCGGTACTTCTGGTGAAACTGAGTTTTCTTCCATCAAATATTGAAACTGCACCCCTAGCTACCATGGAAGGTATAGGGGGAGGTGCAGCCACCACAAATAAGGTCTGGAATGTAGCGTGCGGTGCGGTAACTGTAGTGTGTGGTGCGGTATTTGTAGCGTGTGGTGCGGTATGTGTAGCGTGTGGTGCGGTATGTGTAGCGTGTGGTGCGGTATTTGTAGCGTGTGGTGCGGTATGTGTAGCGTGTGGTGCGGTATGTGTGGGCGGTAGTGTGGGCGGAGTGACGTAGGGCATAGCTTACTGTGGCAGGATCTGGTACAGCAGGTTTTCGGCTTTACGCTTCTCCTCCAGGTAGGCCTGCGTCCTCTCCTCCACCAATTTCTCCAGATTGTTTGCGTATTGCTCCATACGGGACAGTAAATTATCCAGGATGCTGGTTGTTCCCTCCCTGAAAAAGACACAACAGTCACCCCCTCCCAGGGATGTAGGATATGACCCCCTCCCAGGGATGTAGGATATGACCCCCTCCCAGGGATGTAGGATATGACCCCCTCCCTGGGATGTAGGATATGACCCCAATGAGAATTCCCAACTCCTCGCTGTGACAGCTGGTGTCCACCGTGGGCCGAAAGAATGGACATTGGCCATTCCTCACCTTCTGGACAATCTCTGGGAGGAGGACAGGGATGACAGATTATACGGAGCCCGGGGAACCTGAAGAACATCTCACACTTCAGGACTATGTCAGAGCGATGTGAGGGGCCCCCAGAAGAACAAAGATTGGGCAGACACCCGGCTCGCAGACATCTCTGTGAAAGGCGAAGGAGGTTCTGGAGGTTCTGGTTTGGGACCTTCTGACTCCATTTACTAGAACACTGAAGATCTCAGATCTGTACTTCCCTCCTCCTCCCACCATTGCTGGATGAGCTGGAAATGGTTTGGACTCTCCAACACCTTCTGCACTTTACTGCAATACAACTCCACACCTCCAGTGTGGGCCCCCATTACAATTTACGTCTGGGCCCCTGGGAATGACACTCTCCTCCCCCATGGCGGGTGTGGGCCCCCATTACAATTTACGTCTGGGCCCCTGGGAATGACACTCTCCTCCCCCATGATGGGTGTGGGCCCCCATTACAATCCACCTCTGGGCCCCTGGGAATGACACTCTCCTCCCCCATGGCGGGTGTGGGCCCCCATTACAATCCACCTCTGGACCCCTGGGAATGACACTCTCCTCCCCCATGGCGGGTGTGGGCCCCCATTACAATCCACCTCTGGGCCCCTGGGAATGACAGAAAACGGGGACATTATTCTACTACAGATGATCCAGAGCCTTCCGAAGCCCCCGAGGAGCAGCTACGCCTCTGGTTTTGGATAGAGAGGACAACGGTTAGAAGGTGTGTCAGGATTCTATCGCCCTCCAGGTCCCCATTGGGAAGATTCCCCTCACTTCCTCTCCCAGTGTCACCAGGCCCTCAGGAAGGGGCAGGGGGAGGTCTTCCCTTTGGTCTTGGACACTTGTTTATGATGACATATTGGACCTTCGCTGGTTCACCAGCTGCAGACCCACATACCCCCTGATGCCCCCTACCTCCCCCAGTCACACGCTCTGCGGGCAGCTCGGGTGGGTAGTTACCCTTGGGGCTGAGGTCCATGCCTTGGATGTAGAAGGCCCCGTTCCTCAGGGCGATCTCCTGCAGTATGATCCCAAAGCTGTAGACGTCACCCTTCTGTGTGCCTTGAGGAGGGGGTCTGGACATTCGTAGGAGCTCCGGAGCCGTCCACAGCTTCTCTGTACAGGAAGAAGCACAGCGATTATTACACACTCAGCCATGGACACGGTATATGTGGGTGCTATTCCCCCTGTGTGTGGAATAAAGGGGCCCATATAAAAGATGGCCACATCCCAAGATGATTATTGGGAGCTCCGCCTGTCTATACATCTGCTCTGATCAATCCTGAGGGGGGAGGGGGAGGGGGCAATGAGACCCCCATCACAGTCTATATACCAGACACTGTCCTGGGGGGCAATGAGACCCCCATCACAGTCTATATACTGGACACTATCCTGAGGGGCAATGAGACCCCCATCACAGTCTATATACCAGACACAATCCTGGGGGGGCAATGAGACCCCCATCACAGTCTATATACTGGACACTGTCCTGGGGAGCAATGAGACCCCCATCACAGTCTATATACTGGACACTATCCTGAGGGGCAATGAGACCCCCATCACAGTCTATATACCAGACACAATCCTGGGGGGGCAATGAGACCCCCATCACAGTCTATATACTGGACACTGTCCTGGGGAGCAATGAGACCCCCATCACAGTCTATATACTGGACACTATCCTGAGGGGCAATGAGACCCCCATCACAGTCTATATACCAGACACAATCCTGGGGGGGCAATGAGACCCCCATCACAGTCTATATACTGGACACTGTCCTGGGGAGCAATGAGACCCCCATCACAGTCTATATACTGGACACTATCCTGAGGGGCAATGAGACCCCCATCACAGTCTATATACCAGACACAATCCTGGGGGGGCAATGAGACCCCCATCACAGTCTATATACTGGACACTGTCCTGGGGGGCAATGAGACCCCCATCACAGTCTATATACTGGACACTATCCTGAGGGGCAATGAGACCCCATCACAGTCTATATACTGGACACTATCCTGGGGGGCAATGAGACCCCCATCACAGTCTTTATACTGGACACTGTCCTGGGGGCAATGAGACCCCATCACAGTCTATATACCAGACACTATCCTGGGGGGCAATGAGACCCCCATCACAGTCTATATACTGGACACTATCCTGGGGGGCAATGAGACCCCCATCACAGTCTATATACCGGACACAATCCTGGGGGGCAATGAGACCCCCATCACAGTCTATATACTGGACACTATCCTGGGGGGCAATGAGACCCCCATCACAGTCTATATACTGGACACTATCCTGGGGGGCAATGAGACCCCCATCACAGTCTATATACTGGACACTATCCTGGGGGGCAATGAGACCCCCATCACAGTCTATATACTGGACACTATCCTGGGGGGCAATGAGACCCCCATCACAGTCTATATACCGGACACTATCCTGGGGGGCAATGAGACCCCCATCACAGTCTATATACTGGACACTATCCTGGGGGGCAATGAGACCCCCATCACAGTCTATATACTGGACACTATCCTGGGGGGCAATGAGACCCCCATCACAGTCTATATACTGGACACTATCCTGGGGGGCAATGAGACCCCCATCACAGTCTATATACTGGACACTATCCTGGGGGGCAATGAGACCCCCATCACAGTCTATATACTGGACACTATCCTGGGGGGCAATGAGACCCCCATCACAGTCTATATACTGGACACTATCCTGGGGGGCAATGAGACCCCCATCACAGTCTATATACTGGACACTATCCTGGGGGGCAATGAGACCCCCATCACAGTCTATATACCGGACACTATCCTGGGGGGCAATGAGACCCCCATCACAGTCTATATACTGGACACTATCCTGGGGGGCAATGAGACCCCCATCACAGTCTATATACCGGACACTATCCTGGGGGGCAATGAGACCCCCATCACAGTCTATATACTGGACACTATCCTGGGGGGCAATGAGACCCCCATCACAGTCTATATACCGGACACTATCCTGGGGGGCAATGAGACCCCCATCACAGTCTATATACTGGACACTATCCTGGGGGGCAATGAGACCCCCATCACAGTCTATATACCGGACACTATCCTGGGGGGCAATGAGACCCCCATCACAGTCTATATACTGGACACTATCCTGGGGGGCAATGAGACCCCCATCACAGTCTATATACCGGACACTATCCTGGGGGGCAATGAGACCCCCATCACAGTCTATATACTGGACACTATCCTGGGGGGCAATGAGACCCCCATCACAGTCTATATACCGGACACTATCCTGGGGGGCAATGAGACCCCCATCACAGTCTATATACTGGACACTATCCTGGGGGGCAATGAGACCCCCATCACAGTCTATATACCGGACACTATCCTGGGGGGCAATGAGACCCCCATCACAGTCTATATACTGGACACTATCCTGGGGGGCAATGAGACCCCCATCACAGTCTATATACCGGACACTATCCTGGGGGGCAATGAGACCCCCATCACAGTCTATATACTGGACACTATCCTGGGGGGCAATGAGACCCCCATCACAGTCTATATACCGGACACTATCCTGGGGGGCAATGAGACCCCCATCACAGTCTATATACTGGACACTATCCTGGGGGGCAATGAGACCCCCATCACAGTCTATATACCGGACACTATCCTGGGGGGCAATGAGACCCCCATCACAGTCTATATACTGGACACTATCCTGGGGGGCAATGAGACCCCCATCACAGTCTATATACCGGACACTATCCTGGGGGGCAATGAGACCCCCATCACAGTCTATATACTGGACACTATCCTGGGGGGCAATGAGACCCCCATCACAGTCTATATACCGGACACTATCCTGGGGGGCAATGAGACCCCCATCACAGTCTATATACTGGACACTATCCTGGGGGGCAATGAGACCCCCATCACAGTCTATATACCGGACACTATCCTGGGGGGCAATGAGACCCCCATCACAGTCTATATACTGGACACTATCCTGGGGGGCAATGAGACCCCCATCACAGTCTATATACCGGACACTATCCTGGGGGGCAATGAGACCCCCATCACAGTCTATATACTGGACACTATCCTGGGGGGCAATGAGACCCCCATCACAGTCTATATACCGGACACTATCCTGGGGGGCAATGAGACCCCCATCACAGTCTATACACATATCTATAAACGGTGCTCATGGCTGAGGCCGATAGTAAGACACCTCGAGACTCTTCATATAACCACCGCCCCTACCACTGTCACCGCCCCTACCACTGTCACCGCCCCCCCCCCTGTCACCGCACCCCACCACTGTCACCGCCCCCACCACTGTCACCGTCCCCACCACTGTCACCGTCCCCACCACTGTCACCGCCCCCACCACTGTCACCGTCCCCACCACTGTCACCGCCCCCACCACTGTCACCGTCCCCACCACTGTCACCGTCCCCACCACTGTCACCGCCCCCACCACTGTCACCGTCCCCACCACTGTCACCGCCACCCAATACTTTGTATAAAGGGCCACAACATAACCGGCGTTTGTGTCATCGGAAAACAGCAGCAACTCCTTATAACCCGGCGGAACGTATCCCCCAAACATGTGTCCGGAATATTTTCATCTGGGGGAGATGAGGGGCGACCATAACCCAGAGATCCGGCAAAATCGAATATCTGAATGAGAAACAAGCGATGGACTATCTGAGGCCCCAACTCCCCAGACTCCGTTACATCTGTTACCATATCCGTATACAAAGGTTATACATCCGTGGACGGGGTTTACCTACACTATACCACCAAAAAGTATGAGGACCCCCCCAGATGATGGGCTTCAGGGCTTTCCAGTGAAAGGTTCACCACACAAAGACATTGTAGACAGTGGAGCTCTTCCAGCCTTGTGGTGACAGTTTGGTGAAGACCCTTTTCTGTTCCACCATGACTGTCCCCCGTGTACAAAGCTCCATACAGACATGGGGGGAGAGGGGGGCTCCATACAGACATGGTGTGACCGGTGTGGTGGAGGAACTCGAGTGTCCTGCACATGAGCCCTGACCTCAACCTACTGAACACCTTTGGGATGAATTGGGAACGTTGATTGTGAGCCCGGGTCTTCTCATACAACATCAGTACCTGACCTCACAACCGGGACAAATTCCCACAGACACCCTCCCCAAAATCTCATGGAAAGTCTTATAGTCACAAAGGGGGCAAGGCCATATTAATAGCCATGGTTCTGGAATGGAATGCTCGATGGTCAGGTTTCCACCCACTTTTGGCCATGTAGCGTACATACATCTGTATACGGGAGTTACCCATATTCATCCATATACAGAGCCTCCTATAACCTGGAGAGGGCCCGGAGAAGGCTCGGCCTAGGGGACCTGCAATTATAGATCACACGAAGCAATACAAGACAATTGTGGACATTCACACCCACTGGCATACAAGGCATAGACATCGTCTGCATCACAGCTGGAGCGGAAGCTGGCCAGTCCATAGTCGGTGATCTTCAGCACGAATCGGCTGTCCACCACGCAGTTGGAGGACTTGAGGTTCCCGTGGATGCTGATGATACTGCGGTGCAGGAAACACATTCCCTGAAGAGACAGAAGGAGGAATGTTACAAACCCGTCACATCTGATGGCGGGGGAAAGCCTCTGAGGGCCCCGCAGGTCACACATCACAAGGTGGGGGGAACGAGCAGATCCCCCATTGCTGCCAAGTCAATGAAATGTGCCCCGGGACAACATTGGACCTTATATGTCATATCAACTCAGCCATGATGGTATCAGCCAATCTGTGTGACGGCACTAAGGCCAGGAAGACCAACTTACCAAGAGCAGCGCCATGTCTGCAGGAAACTAGACTACAAACATGTCTTCCTTAGAAGAACACAGATCCAGAACACTCAGACTGAGCCCGCCCCCCCCTCCCCCACATCCGATAGAAGGGGTTCATGTAGAATGCGTGTTCATTCTCCGGTTCTGGATGTCAGGCGAAGGAGTAAAGAACGGATATCTGGAAGATCTCCACATACCTCCCAGGACCTCTCAGGGAATCTGACTCGTCCATCTGAAAAAATGTCTGCGGAAGGGGGGGTTGGTCTTATTCACTTTCAAGAGCACCAGTCACTGCTAATAATACCACCACCAATCCACATGATGGTGATCTGGAGGTTATCAGCTGATGACCTCTAATAATGGTGGGTAGTACGGGGTATATATGGAAGTGAGGGAGTGTGGGGCTCCTGTGTGGAGTGTTCCTAGTTACATTTATTGTGGTTGGGTTGTAACCAGCCTGGTAGGGTTCTCCTAAGCTGAGGACATTGGTTATATCTGCTGGATGCCGTTGTCTTCAGTAACACTGTTTCCAGTTCTGAGTATTTATCTGTTTTGGTCACTATT